AAGTGAACGCTATGCATGTTCTTCAAGCTTATCTCCATGTGCACAGTGTTACTACTATGCCCTAGAGAAATCAGTCCCTTCCTGTGTGGAGATAGGAGAGGCTGTACTGGAGTAGTTTTGATTGGATTAAATTTATTTCAGAGGTTGTATGGAAACCTCTGCTTGGGGAAAAGCAATTACATGTTATGTTAAAAATATGTGAAGATTGAAAAATGTAGAGAGACTCTTTAAGTTTACAGTTCTAGAATTTGCGTGTCTATATATTATTCCCATTTTTCTTTAGAGTAACCTGATAAGTTACATTTCATTTTTCCTATGTATTTCTCTCCAAGGAGTTCTATCTTATTAGTTAGGTAATAGAAACTACTTTTACTATGCATACATGCCAGGAATAATCATTTGAACTCCAACACGTGGCACTTAGGTTAGGAATCTTCCAAGCTGAATGCATGGTTCCATGGCAAACACATCTGTTAGTGCTAAAATACTACTCTATTCAAAAGGGAAAACGATGGGAAAACTGTTCCTTAGTCTTTTGATATTTTTAATAGTCATGCCTTCCTCCATAAAGAAAATGCAAAGACAAGTCACATTATTTTTCAGTGAGTAAGAGAATTCACATATGGAATTAGAGTGCAGATTAAATGTTTTCTAGTGAGACCTAGAAATGAAGGCGCATTTCATGTGACAAGTTTGCCTTAAAATTTCCCCTGCCTGAAGGTAACAACCATACATCCTCCAGTGTCTGTATTTATTCTGTCTTCATCTACAAAAAATGACTAGAGTTTTCCTAAACACAAGGTGTCTTTTAGACCCTTCAGGGATAGGACTGTAAAACACCCTTCTGATCCATTCTCATGTCCTTCTAAGTCGTTCAGAAATACCTCTCTCGGTCTCTGCAGGACAAGTGGAAGTCTTAGAATCTTAACATAAGTCATAGACTTCCATTCTAAACAACATATTCATTCATTTTCTTTATTTTTCTTCCACGAAACATAAGCATTTTAAAGGGTTTATCTTTGTATCACTCCACGTACTTTGATATCTATATAAACATACGCCTTTCATTCCCAATTCGGTCTTCTAATTTTCTGTTCCATACTTGGAAAGATTACAGGCATGTGGTAAGATTTGGCCTTGGTTACTGAAGGCATCCAAACCTGCGTGGTGATGGCTTCCAGATTTCAGCACACAGTGAATCTTCACATTATAATTTTCCTACAGATAGTTCATTTGATTAAAGGTAAGTCTGGGTTTTGTTCTAATTTGATTTAAATGGTACTAAATTTCCAAAGCTGATGGGTTGTTCTAGAACTTAAAAACAAACAAACAAACAAACAGAAAAAAAAAACAGGAATTGAAAGAAATGGAGAAATTTACTTGTGTGTTTTCATATAGCATTATACATAGATTTACTGATTTCTGAGATTGTTTTTTCAGGGAGCTTTCTTTTTTTCTTTGCTTCGACTTCTTTTCTCAGCTCAGCTGGTCCTGTCACTTAATTGGGCTCAGAAACCTACATTTCTTTGGGTATTGTCCACTTCTGAGTGATGGAGTAGGAGAGTAAAATCTGCAAAGGTCTGCTAGAATATTTTCCAATAAAAATCAAAATTAACTATGTCTAATTTTCATAAATGACCATATTTTAACAAAGAATTTCACATGAAATCTCTTTCCTGTTGTGTGTTTCATCTCTAAAGGAAGGTACACAAGTGAAAATATGATTGGCATCTGATATTAGGTAGGCATAAGCTTGCCTTTCGAATTAAAGCTTTACATAACGAGCCTATCTTTCTTCATGGTAGTATGCCATTTCTGCCTCAGAATCTGTCTGCAAATTAAGCACAGTTTTTCTGGTAACCCTTCCCTGAGGTTACTCTGCATTCTGAGTGGGTAAGTGATGGTGTTGAACAACGGCAGAGGACAGAAAAGTCTTCTTCCACTTACAAAACTGACATAGAATCATAGAACGGCTTGGGTTGGAAGGGATCTTAAAGCCCTTCCAGTTCCAACCCCCTGCCATGGACTTGTTGTCATCTAGGTCAGACTTCTTGTACTAGATCAGGAGGGCCATCCCAAACCGTCATCAAGTAACTCCACAATTTCTATGGGCAGCACCTCACCACCATCTCAGTGAAAATTTTCCCCTTGATGTCTAATTGCAATCTCGCATCTTTCAGAATAACTAGTCCTATCACTATCAGACTGTGTAAAAAGTCACTCTCCCTTCTGTTTATAAGCTCCCTTTATGTGCTGGAAAGCTGCAGTGAAGTCACAAACGAGCTTTTTCTTTTCCAGACTTAACAAGACCATCCCTCTCAGCCTCTTTACATAAGAGGTGCTCCAGTCCTCTGAGCATCTCTGTGGCCCTTTTCCAGACTTATTCCAACACTCCTCATGTTTCTCATGGTGGGGGTTCCAGGTTTGAGCACAGCACATCTTATGAGGCCTCACATAGTAGAGGGGGACAATTCCCACCCTCTCCCTGCTGCTACCCCTCTGTCAGTGCAGCACTCAATGTCTTTTGGGCTACAAGTGCACATTGCTGGCTTCTTACGCACCAGAATCCCTGAGTCCTTACCGTGATGGGATTTCTTGCTCTCCATTTGTCTCATCTCATCAGCGCCTGATTTCAAAGTAGGAAATTATTGAAATAATTCTTGAGATAATATCCTGATCCACAGCATTTCCTGATACACTGATTTTTATCAGAACGGAAGACCTGCATTCACTAACTGACATTACTGCTTCCTGTACAAAATGCTAATGAGAACATCTGTGGCTGGCAAGATTTACATCTACATCTTCTTTCAGGTCAGTTAAGAATTATACCTCCTTACGATCCTGTGCTTGGAGTTGTTGGAATGGGAGTCACCCTGCCCTGCCAGCTGGAAGCTAAGACAATCTCAGAGGGAGTACTTGTTCAGTGGACAGTAATTGGAAATCCCGTAAACTATGAAGTGACTACCTATGATGGAAGAAATGCACAGAATCCAGTAAAGGAGAATAAGGCATACCTGGGCCGTACAAATTTTTTTCTGAGTGAAGTTACTAAGGGGAACTTATCCCTTCACCTGAAAAATGTCATGGTCTCCGACAAAGGGAAATATATCTGCAGTGTCTCTTTGGAGAACTGGTACGATGAAGTGGTGGTTGACCTGAATGTGGCAGGTGAGTGGAATGTCTTTTCCAAGGTTCCAAAACCTTCCAAAAAGGTGCTTTTGATTTCTTACTCAGTGCAGTTGTGTATCTTTGGTAAGGACGATGGGGTTCTGTTAGCCATGAGGAAGACCAGCCTCCACTCTGGTAGTCTTCCTTCATTGACATCTGGACACTAAAAATATCTTTTTAATATTCTCTTACATGTGGGTATGAAAATGTGTAAAGGGAGTAGGGCTGAATGCTGCAATAAACCAAACCTATTTATGTAGAAGTGAGGCAACTGTAGGCCAGCTGAGAGGGTATTTTGTGTTTCAACCCATTTTTGTTGCCCCATCTTACACATCACTTTTCTTGTCCAGTATTCCAACTGTAGTCTCATAATAGTGTCATCCAAATCTATTTCAACAGCAAATTTTCTGCTAGTCAGTATGGTGTCGTGATTACTCCTTTTCATTTTTATTTCAAATTATTTATGAAGGTATCAAAAATGTCTGAAAAAAAAATTCTTTATCAGTACAGGAAGAGAGATGCTGAATACAGGCATCTCCATCTGTTCAACTCACACAGTGTGTTTATGGACAAATCTGAGGAAGATCTTTCCAACATGGGCTGCTCAGTCAGAGAATATCTCATTGCCTGTTTGTTTCTTTCCTTCTCTACAGCTCAAGGTAAGGACTCTGCAGTTCATATGGATGGCCACGTGGATCAGGGCATTGGAGTCACCTGCAAGTCCCAGGGATGGTTTCCACAGCCTGAGGTAATTTGGCTGGACAGCAAAGGACAGACAAGGAAGGAGAAAGTGGTCACACAAAGACTGCAGACTTCTTCAGGCCTTTTTGACGTTGTCAGTTCCATGGCCCTAGAACCAGGAACTGACATGGAAGTCTCCTGCAGAATAGTCAATGATATCCTCAACACAGCACGTGAATCGCGAGTCCTGGTTTCAGGTAAGTGAACTCCAGGGCTGATATTTATGAGAACCAGTTTGCTGGCTGCTGTCCTTCATCTCTCCATTTTTCCCAGAGAGATTGTGGATATCCAGAAAAGACATAAATGGCAAGTGCTGAGATGGATAACGTTATAAGAATTAAAATTTCATATTACTCATTAAGTTCAGAATTCATCTTATCAAGAAATATTAGTCAATTCTCATTGATCATCACGCGGGAGCACTGAAATGATTTGGAAAGGGAATGATTTAGAAGTGCCTGTAGGAAATGGTGAAGGTCTGCTCTCATCCTCTTTCTCTCCTTGACAACAGCATGATGACTCTGCACAACAGCAGGTGCCACCCTCCCATTTGGATCTTAATTTCAAAAGTAAAGCAGAAGACTCCTTTTTTTCCATCTGAAATAGACAGTTTTTCGTTCCCAAAAACTTCATCTATAAGGACAATAATTAAAATAATGTCCTCAGATGGATCACTCAACACATACTTCTTACAGAAAGGTGGCATCTCACAATATATGAGATGCTCTGTCAATTTCTCTATCTGGCAATGCACCGTGGAGAATGGGAGGGCAGCCATAACTGCCACAGATGGAAAAAAGAGTCCCAATGTGATACAGTACAGCAAAAATTATAGCATTAAATTCACATGCCTTAGACACTGGATATGTCCTAGAGTTTTTTTCACAAACATTCATTGAAAGGAACACTGTTTATATTTTACAGAGGTCTTCTTTCCATCCACTTCACCTTGGATGACCGCATTCCTTGTGATTATATTTTGTGCTGTGGCTGTTATCGCTGCTGCAGGCTATAAGCTGAAGAGTAAGTATTTACACCAACAACAGCTGATATGGAAGTTGTAACCACACTGCAAAGTGCAGTTAATGGAAAATGAAGTGTCATTTCAATATGAGCGTGAGAAAGAAAGAGACAGGAATGAGATGGAGAGAGGAAAAAAGTGATAGGTGTGTGAGAGTGACATATGTGTGAATGCACAAAACATCCTTAACAAGGAGGTTGTTTGTGAGATACAATTTTAAGTGATCACAAATGATAAATAGGCACTGAATACGCGGCTCATCTTTAGAACAGTGCTTTTTTAGGAATAAAACTCATATTGGGATTATACTATGATAATTTAAACAGATTTTTTTTTTCTTGGGAAAATAATTAAAATTCTTCTTCCTTTTCCAGTTCATTATGCAAGAAAACAAAAAGAAGGTGAGTAACAAGGGGGCTAAGTAAACCCACACAATCCTACTTTGGGACAATAGCCTCAATTTTTGAGCTAGCAACAGTCTCAGAAGCATTTTCATAGATTACTGTTCCGATAAGAATGCAGGAACAATCAATACTAAGACATTTCAGTTTTGTAATGCACCAAGGTGCATTGCCTGTTTTTTCTCATCAGCTACAAGTACCACCACTGCTGCCTCAGCAGGGAGTTCTGCTTCCACCACTCACAGGCAGAGCTAGTTGTCAACACAGATAAACTCTTCTCTCTAGTGTCACAATAAAGCCAAAAGTTTCTGTAGCTTCAGAGGCAAAAGCAAACTGTGTTCGTTCAACAGGTCCCAGAAACAAGAATTTGTTGCATACTGATGTGTCAACACCAAACAATGAATCCAATATGAATATGTATTATTCATAAGCCTGCCTTCTTGTGTAAGGAAGTTCCTCCTGCCCACAGTATTTCTCCAGACAGGAGATAATTGCAGGGATTCTTTTGTGAATGCCTGACAGTATTCCTGTTTCAGTAGCTCATGTTTCTTCTAGTATTTTTAAGATGCTCTTCTACTAAAAATATTCCCCTGTTATAATGATTTAGTTGTTGTTCTGCAGAACTCATGGGCTCAACTTCCACTGAGCATTTCAGATTATTCTATTCTTTTTTTTTTTTTTTTTTTTTTTGAATATTTAAATCAATAATTAATATGACAATTTTTGTTGTCTGCTGTTTTATTCTTAGAAACAACGATGGACGAGCTCAAAAAGAGTAAATACTCATTTTCTCCTATTATTAGATGTGATCACAGAGAGAATAGATTTCAACTCCATGAGGAAATCACTACTGGGGAGAAGAGCTGGTGGGAGGAGGGGTGTGTGGATTTCCTACTTGAAATCTAAGGGACATGACAGGTAACTAGATGAGATTGAGATATTCAACAGGTAGGTGCCTTAAAGAGGCTGTATGGATATCATTTCATCCTTCTCACTGGTTGTGAAGTTGTGTGTTGAGTTACCAGGTTGTCATTTGGCTTCTTCATTGCCTTTTGCTCACCAGGTAGATTGGAATAATCACAGTTGGTCCTATGTAAACAGATCATGCAGGAATTAGCATTCAGAACAATGAGTAATGTCTGTTTTACAATTTGATACTGTAACAGACGCAATGATAATCAGATGTCATCTCTTTCAGACAAAGAGGATTTGGAGAAAGACTTAGGTAAGAAGATGGTTTTGATAGTTCTTCAATTACTTCTGGTCAGCAAGCTATTTACATCCCCAAAAGAGCAAATGAGATGTAGAACATTTTGATATGAAGTTCTTCTGGATGTGACTGTTTCTTTTATCAAATATTATTGTGACCTGCGCTGATGGTTCATCACAAATCCAAAGATTCAAAATATCATTATGATCCATTTTCCATGAACCTTTTGGAGCTTTTGTTATTGAGTGCAATGGCATAAATTTTAAAGCATATCTGATCATCCTTTGAACTTTCTTTTAAAAAGCAACTGTTCAAGTCAGTAATGTTTGCTTTTTCTTTTCTTTTTCCTTTGGTATTTTCTGTCTGCTGGTCAACTTAGACTCAGAGAAGAGGACACGTGATGCAGGTAAGGAAATACTGCAAACAAGACAGTTTTGATGCATTCTTAGTAGTAAAAGGGAAAGAAACTCAGCTATTTCAGTACAAATCAAGGCAGCTTGTTTCTAGTTAAATGGTTAATGCTTACATTAAATGGCTATGAACATTATTATACAGCATGGCTATGCTTCTAGAAGCCCTGAGATACTTTCTTTCCTCTCTGTAATCCACCCGCCTTGAGTTTTGCTGGCCATACAAGAGTTTCTTGAAGCTCTAGTTTATGGCTCCTGTGCTTTTTCCCTTCTTGGTCAAACCTTTAACATATAATTGACAATATTTGCCTGGTAAATTTTAAAGGAAACTTCATTTCAGTGTTGAATTCTCAATGTGTGAATTATCTGCATCATACTCAACTCTGAATCCTCTTCTCCTCGAGATTCCTTCTCACTTATTAAAGCCATTATTTTGCAGGATACTCTGCAACGAAACATTGGCTTGGTAAGATAACAACTATAAATCTTACTCTTGTGAACCTTACAAAAAAATAAAGTATTCAGACCAGTGTGAGGAAGCCACACCTGAGCATGAACAGACTGCACCGACCTCATCACAGTTCAGATCTCTTTCCTCCTTCAATGCAGATGTCAAGAGGCATGCTGTAAGATTTTCCTGAACTGTGATTAATCCTTCTTGCCAGAAGCTGCTATACCTAAAGCTAGGCAGCCATAACGTGCTATGAATTGTTCCATTGCAAAAACATCTGGTGGCACTGGTCAATGGAAAGCTGGACATGAGCCAGCACTGTGCCCACACAGCCCAAAAAGCCAACTGTATCCTGGGCTGTATCATAAGATGCACCTCAGGGGAGCTGATCATTTCCCTCTACCCTGCGCTGCTGAGGCCTCACCTGAGGTACTGCGTTCAATGTGGAGCCTCTCCTGCACTAATTCAAAACATGCTAGTATTTACATGTTGTGTAGCTTGATGTCCTGTGGTCTGGGTTTGTCCAGCTTTGAAAAACTGAACCACAACACAGACAAACCTCATATAAAGATTATTGGTGTCAGTAACTAGAACATCCTTTCAACAAAATACATTTTAATAACTAGAATGTATTTTTCTTGCAGACATACTAGAATGTGAATTGGGTAAGTGGTTTTAAAGTTTTGTTTTCTTGGAATACGTGCTGCTGCTTTACATAAAGTCAACCCTTGGGATGAATTTCAGTGATGGCAATAACTGCACAACAGAAGGCAACGGAAGACAGGCTGACAGTTGTGTAATCACACAACAGATTCACAAAACTCTTTCCTCTCTTTCTCCTCTGCAGATTTCTGGAAAGCTCAGGACAAAGCAGGTAAGCAGACAGAAGAAAGGGTAGGAAAATGGTGTATTTCTCTGTCCAAGTTCTCCGGAAATGACAGTGGCATGATCTTAGAGGTTGGCCAGCTGAGCTGGAATCACAGGAATAAGCCTTCACTTTAAATGGATAAAACAAAATGAGGCTTGGAGGTGACCATTGGAAACACTGAGAAAAAAAGTTGCAGAATTGTGTTCATGTAAGGACTGAATGTATAATAATAATAGCAATAATAATAATGATCATAGAATCATGGATTATGAAATTGCTCAGGTTAGAAAAGACCATCAAGTTCAAACACAGCCTAACCAAGCTACCCTAACTCTAGCAACACTCCGCTAAATCACGTCCCTGAGCACCACATCCAAACAGTTTTAAAGACATCCTGGGATGGTGACTCAACCACCTCCCGGACACAATGGAAAAGTGAGAGAGAGTAATTAATTATAAAGCGTGTGAAAGACAGTGAGAATCACCTGGATTTGTCCACAAGAGAGACATCATGGCTATGACAGCTCCAAGGGACCTGTCAGTTCCTACATGTCTGTTTCTTGCCCTGTCTGGGGAAAACATTTCAATTCCTTGTCAAATCATGCCCAGAGTACTGAAGCCCTGAAATGCTTCAACCCATTTCCCACTCCAAAGGTATGTTCCTGAAACACTTTGCTCACTGGGTCATTGTCATCTTCCCCTCCAGTTCCCTTTACGGTGAATTCTGAATGCCAACTCCTCAAGATCCAAGTGCCAGGGGCTCCAGATGTTGAAAGCAATGCAACTGAACCTGCTGACCTGAGCAGCCCCTTCACAATCCCTGTCCTGGTGGCAAAGGAAGGGTTTGCATCTGGGAAACACTACTGGGAAGTGGATGTGGGCCAGCAGCAGGACTGGGTGCTGGGGGTCATGAGGCACAAAGGGAAACAAGAGGAGCAAGGGATACTTGCAAGAGGGGACTTCTGGGCTCTGCAGAAAACCAGGGGAGAGGTTTTCTCTATCAAAGGAAACAACAGGCCAGAGAAGAAGGAAATGAATGACGCAATGATTGGTGTGCTTCTGGATTTGGAGGAAGCACAAGTCTACTTTTACGATGCAAAGAAGAGAAGCAAAGCATTGAGAATATCTATAAGCCTTGGAAAGGAATCTGCAGAAGTGTTTCACCCTTTTCTATCGAAAGGGGAATTGAGATTCATGCCTGTTTGTCATCAAAATATTCCCGTTCCACTAACGAATCCATAAATTGCTCAGAGAATTGTCTAGGGAAGGACAGTTCAGTCAAAGGTAAAAGGGAGAAATCACGAACAAACGTCAGCATAATGTAAAACAAAATGAGAAAGAAAGACGTAGATAAGAAAGGCACAAAATTCTAGAGAGGACAAAAGAACCAGTTAGGATTATTAGGTTGGAGCCATATTCAGAAAACCCTGGTTAGTTGATTGAGTTCTTGTTATTGAGTAAGAAAGTCTCAAGTTTACAAAACATATTCAGTTCCCAGAAGTGACAGCTGTAATTTAGGAGGTGCTATATAACCTGTCTTTCCATCACTTTGCTGCGGGAGGAGTTGCATCCATGCTCATTTCCAATTTGCGTTTAAGTTTGTTGGAATCCATTTAATTAGGCAAGCCCAATTCCACTATATTTGTATCAAGAAACTAAATAAATGTTATCTGATGGAAAAAAAAACATATTTAAACATATTTTCTTTCTTAAGCACATTAGAACATTTACGGTTAGATACAGTGATGTGTGAGCTATGGTGTCAGCCAGTGGAGTGAAGGGTCCTACTGTCAGCAGGTAGATGGCCTTGTGGGCTCTTAGCCTGGGATGGTGCCTATGGGGATTTTTGTGTGTGGACTGGGTGCAACTACTGGAGTTAAGCCAAGGGTGTTGGCCACAGATGTGGGGTCAGCTACAGGAGTGAGTGAGGGTCCTGGTATCATGGTTGGAGAGTTGTCTCCAGGACTTGGGAGGGCACCACGGTCTATGAACCCAGAGTGCCAGACACTTGGCAGATCAATGACGGTCTGGGGGTCTGCTACTGGAGTCAGGCTGAGCTGTAGGCTGTAGAACCGCTACTGAAGGGAGCAGGGAGGGCCCTGACGTGATGTACTGGAGCAAGTGGGGGTCTTCTACTCCCAGCCATGGGAAGAGACTAGTCTGTTTTCCCAGATACTGGTGGGACTGGTGTGAGTGAGACAAGTGTCTCCACCCCAGAGGCAGAAGTAGGGCACTGGGTTACAGCCCATGAGCCTGGTGTCACCTGCTGAGTGCATCAAGTATGTGCATCTTCACCAAACAGATGTGCGTGGGATAAGCATGTGTATTGACTCGTAAAGTTTAAGCTGGAACAGCCTGTAAGAAGTGGGAATCCTGAAGTCTGAGTCAGGTGATTGGTTGGTGGGTTTGTGCTGGTACGCCCAGGGGAACTTGCAAACATGGTGTGCTTGAGAGACAAGTCTAAGCATGCATGTTGCAACTTCAAGACGGGCTACATGGCAAAGCAGACAACCCTTAATTCCCCCAACATATGGGAATCAAATCTCTCCTTGCTGGGCACCTTTCTGTTATGCTCTTTCCAACTTCAGACACTTCCAGGATGATCTGTGTCAAAGGTGTCATTAAATGCAATAAGGTAATTTCTTAAGTACTAAATAACAGGAGGGCTACTGCTTTTATGCTTTCTATTGGTTGACCCTCTGCATTTATTCCCCTGCCTTGTTATGATCTTCACTCTGATATGTCCTAGGAAATTTCTTTGCCCAGGATGTCTTCTAGCAACCTAAGTTTCCCTTTTCCCTTGTCTCTCACCTGCTGTGTACTGAGGGTCACCAGCATGCAATAAATGCAAAGCAACTGGCAGAGAGTGTCTCTTGATCAATGACATGAAACATCAAGGAAGAATGTAATTAAGCCTTGCACTTAATCGTTGAAATTGTACAGTGGCAAGCAGAGAATAAGAGTCACACTTTGGATCACAGCTTCTCTGCACAAGAAGAGAGGAGAGAAGGCTGAGCATTCATGACTGTGCCGGGCAGCAGCTGCTGCCAGCCATAAGGATAAGGGATATCAGGGCAACTGACATGCCACTTCCAATTCAATCACTGAATTGAATACATTCCTGACACTCTCAATGGAAATCCAGACTGTAGTTTGTTCTGTTCATTATACAGACAGCAGTATGTTCACTGGCTGTGTAGAGTTTCTTGAATATCCTGTAATTGTGATAGTCTGATATATTGAACATAACAAGACTTCAGTGCCAAAACTGGGATCACTCAGTGTTTAAGTCAAGCTGCCCTCAGCTCCTCTGATTTTTGTGGACAAGCTAGAATACAAAGGGACTTATATTCTCCCCAGCTTCTTTAAGGCAACACTAGCACATTAGGATCAGGTGTTCTAACAGCAGCAGACACCAACAAAGAGTGAAGTAAAGATATTCTTGCTCTGGCAGAGGCTATTCTGAAAACTGTGTGAAGGAGACTGTGCATGCATCCTAAAATAGGTTCTTGAGCATGTATCCATTCTCTCCTGAGGAGAGAAAAAGATGAAATCCATGAATCTAGAAATAGCAGGAAGGGCAGGAGAGGTCAACAATAAATTCACTGACATGCAAGCTTAGAAATGTATGAATTCAGTCTGTACTCACTAAAATTGAGAGGGTATTAGTACCCTGTAAATTCTCCTGAACACTTTTCAGACCAAATACCAAAATGAGGAAGGCTGGAACATATTCCACACCATTTCCAAGTGAAAGGACTTTCTGCAGAAAGAAACACTGATGGAAAGTCAGTCAGGTTGTTTTCAGCAGGCACTTTGTTTTTGCAACTGATATACAAGGATCTGCCATGACTGGTGATCATCTAGTATCAGAAGTCAGAGGTATTCTTCAGCAGCGTGGTTTCAGCTCATCAGAAAGCTCTCCCACGCTAGGACACTAGCCAACTTTTGCACATAAATGTCATGAATATTTCCTGTGATGATCAGTGCACAGAAAAAGAATTCATGCTCTTCCTCACATCTGATGGAATGATACCTACGCAGCCATACATGCATAAAACAGTTCCTGTGCTTAGAAAACACTTGTGTAGGTTCATAGAAACACCTGGAGACTCTCTCTACCCATTGACTAGGAGGCCTGAAGTGAGAGATTTCCTGCAGAAAATGGCTCACGGAAGACTTAGCAAGCAATGGTGAAAGAATTTTATATTTCAACTTGGTGGCACAAAGCATGGGGCTGAATGTAGTGTACTTGGACCTCAGACTCACTTTTCAGTCATTAATTAACTGTACATTTTTACTTCAACCATTCATTTGTCATCATCATCAAACCCCCATGCAATTCTTAGAGGCTCAGTGTCAGAATTGGTTGCAGATGAACCTGTTGAGAAGAAGGGAAAAAGCTTCACATTCTGGCTGTGATAATTAACAAAGCTAAAAACATACATCATTTTTTTCTGATGAACATTGAAGAATGACAACTTCTTGGATGAGATGTCCAGGAAGATCCCAATCTTCTGTGGTCTGCCACTCACAGTTAAACGGGTCCAGGGATCCGAGTGGGCCCAATACTCTTGCCCATCTGCTAACCCTATGACCCAGAAACCATTCTCTGGGGACAGAGCCACTGTCTCTTTCCGAGTCACAGTCTCCTGGGCAACACCCAAGTTCCAGTTGAGCTTCTTTCCAACATCCACTTCCCAGTAATGTCTCCCCGATGTGTAACCTTCTTTTGCCAACAGAAAAGTGTGGGAATCAAATCTCTCCTCCTTGCTGGGCACTCTTCTGATCACACCGGTGTCTGTTACACTCTTCCCATCTTCAGACACTTGCAGTCTAGGATGAGCCGTGTCAGCATCGAGGGTGACATCAACTGCAATAACAAGGCAACTTCTTAAGTACTAAATAGCAAGAGGTCAACTGCTTTGAGACTTCCTATTGGTTGAACCAATGAATATGTATTTATTCCCCTGCCTTGTCTTGATCTCCACTCTGATAGGCCCTAGGAAATTTTATGCCCAGGATACCACCAATTTCCGGCAACCCAACTCATCTCCCTTCACCTTTGTGTCTCATCTGTGACATACTGAAAGACACCAGCATGCAACAACAGCATGCAACACAAAGGAGAAATGTAAGGAGATTATAAGCTTTTGATTAAGGAATTGTTCAGCAGTAAGGAAGAGACCAGACAATAACAGCCATGCTTTGGAACACAACTCCTCTTTGAACAAAACCAGAATCACAAAATCTTGCAAGGGAATGAGGAACAATTCCATTCACCAACGCTGCATGATAAATTCAGCAGGTTTGTGTGCACTTAGCAGTAGTATTGCTCTAGATGAACACCCTGAAACAAACTCCACCTTCTTATACAGATCAAACCTCTAATTTTATAGAAGAAACAATTGTGTTATATATCTCAGAAGAACAGAAATTAGTGAAACGTTTATAGGCCAGCAAATGGATAACTAAAGGATTCAAAATCAGTTCTTTCTCTTGTGCTGTTACTTACAGAACAAGAGGCCTGAGAACAAATGGTTACTCAAGAGCTATATCAAAGCTTTAAGAGGTGGGATTCAGAATGTATTTTACTTACCTTTATGTCTTTGTGCACGCAATAACTCTACAGGAAAAAAAAAAAAAGGAAGAAAAATGTTTTCAGGAAATCTAGTCTCCAGTGACTTAACAGCCCACGCTACTGGCAGACAATCCAGTACTTCTGTTATTGCTTGCCTGTTCTGCATGTAAGAAGGCCATTTTATGATTATCATCTTCCATGACAAAGGACAAGAATATTTGAAACCAGGAAAACATCAGCTGATTACACAGAAGTGTGTTATACTTAAACAGTAAGTTCAAAACTTCCATAAGATCCCACACAACTAAAAGGAAGAGACAAAACCTACTGTGTCCGTGACAGAGCCCAGAGAGTCTACTTCTCTGGAGATACTCAAAAGCCACAAGGATGTTTTTCTGTGCAACCTATAATAGGAAACCTGCTTTAGCAAGAGGACTGGGTGACCTAGAGGTGTCCTTTGTAAGCCACGCAGTTCTGTGATTCTGAAATCAGTTTTGAAAATAATCAGAAGCTGCAGGAGAGAACAGCCCAGGAGATAAGGAGAAACACATCCAGGTGAAGTCCTCCCTTCAATCTTGGTTTTGCAACGCGAGCACTCAAGGACATTCAACACTTAACATTCACTAAACAGATTCTGAGAGAGTGCTGAAAGGCAAAGATAACACAAACAGTAACTCCACAGTTAGGCTGAGGAAACACTTCCAAAACAAGCAGATAAAAATACATTACGCAAGTGGTCCAGACTCCTCAAAAGTAACATACAACATTCACACTGGCCACCACAAAGCAATGAAGTCCTGAACAATAAGAGAAAATCCATGTGGTTTGGATGATATTCTTGAGACCAACCCGGGAGATGACAAGCACCAGTTGGAACACTGAGAACTGGGGAGGTGGTAGGCTCAATCATAGACCTGTCTGGAGATACTTGGCATTGCAGGAATAGCCCTCTTTGCTATCCCCAAGGCCTTATCCCAATAGAAAATGCCTGAGGGCAGGCTGAGGGATTCAGATTTATTTGCACTGAGGTTCTCTGCCCAATCAATGCAGACAGCGCAGAAGAAGACGCAATGTCAGTAAAAAATGCAAGGGTCCCACAGTACTGCTTCCTTGGATTTCCCAACCCAGCAAGGAAAAACACAGGATTCAGGAGGTGCCTTGCCTCATGCTGTGCCATACTGGCCCACACACCCCTCACACTAGAGCCAGAATAATTTCACCACTCAAAGCATCATTGTCAACCACAGGAGAACAGGCTGTCAGGGGCCAACCATCACTACCCTTAGAGTCGTTGCCATGCCTCAATTCTCCATGCTCCATTCTCATTTGCTCCAAAAACTCCTCCAACACACATTGCCATCACCAGCACAACACCATGACAAATAAACCTGAATATTGGTGGAAGGGATGGCTTGCCAGGGGACAGTCCCACTCACCATTCTCCTTCTTCAGAGTCTCTGCAGAAAGAAAAGGAGGAAGGGGGAAACACCTGGGTTAGCACTCTATCACTCACAAATGCTTGGAAACAGTGTGGGACGCCTTCAACAAGGCACCCTCACGCTACATAAACACAGTCGTTTTGGTTGAGATTCCTCAAGCACAGAAGC